CTTAGGAACGATAAGTAAGGAACGAAGCCCCTTTTTCTCCTTATTCCCACCGCGCGTGCAGCAGTGGGTGGTGGGCTTTTTTTTCGTTCGGCGTTTCGACATTGGGCGGAAAGGGGGGGGAAGGGGGAAGGGGAATGGCTCTGGACCTCTGATTCATGCGCCCGGGGCCCGTTTTTCGTCCTCGGTCGCGTTCTGACGGCCCCGAGGGCCCGGCAGAGGCCCCCAGAGAGGCCGCAGGCATAGCGAAAACAAAAAATCTCCCCGCCGCGACTCGTGTTCGCACAACGCGAGGGGGCCCGGGGGCCCGACGGCGCCTCGGAAGTCGGGGGCGCGCAAACATGGATCAGCGATCCATGGATTTGGCGCGCGGTCGCCAGATCCATGGGTCGGGGGAGGTGCCCTCCCCAAAATGCGGCCCGTGCCGCCTCGGCGGCGGGAATCCGCGATTTCCCACGGAAGCGGGACCCGTCGCTCATCCACGCCACCTGGGTAGCATGTTTGCGATCGCCTGACTGGAGCCCTCCGCGCCGAGTGCTTCCCCGCCCCCCGGGCGCCTCCTCTCTTGGACGAGCGCGTTCCACCACTCGCAGAGCAACTACTCGCAGCTGGCCTGGATCCGCCACGGGGGACTCACGATGCATTACCTGGAGAGGAAGACATATTTGTGTCGGCCGTTTGCGAGCAGGCACTTTTGCGAGTCGTGGAACGCGCCCGGTGATGGAGCCTCTTGGCCGGTGAGAAGTCACCCCCAGCTCCTGGGCCCCGCAGGCCGACCTGGCCCCCCCCTACTCGGGTGGGGGGGGGTGCCGTCTCGTGAGGGCTGCGCGGCATCCATCCCCGCCTAAAGAAGAAGAAGAAGAAGAGGAAGAGGAAAGAGAAGAGGAAGAAGAAGAAGAAGAAGAAGGAGAATCGAAAGACAAGAGGCTGCACGGACACGAGGTCCTGGAGGTCCGCAAGTTTCTGTGTGTGTGTGCCGTCCTCTCTCCTTCGAACCTGAGGGGGTAATTACGCCACGAGAGCTCAGTTACACCCTGTCCCCGAGGCGGGGGCTGACAATGAAGATGAAGATGAGAAGGAGGGACAAGAAGGAGGAGGAGGAGGAGGAGGAGGAGGTGGAGGAGGGACAAGGAGAAGGAGGAGGAGGAGAAGGATGCGGAGGAGCAGGAGCAGAAGGAGGAGCAGGAGCGGGAGGATGAGAAGCAGGAGGAGAGACGACGATGACCAGGAGTGAGGAGCAGAAAAAGGAGGGACAAGGAGGAGGACAAGGAGAAGGAGGAGGAGGAGGAGGAGGAGGAGGAGGAGGAGGAGGAGGAGGAAGAGGGGGGGAGAAGGAGGAGGAGGAGGAGGAGGAAGAGGAGGTGGAGGGGGAGGAGGAGGAGGACGACGACGACGACGAGGAAGATCCTCCTCGCTGCTGCTGCTGAGGACGCCGCAGCAGCTCTTCGCGGCCGCCGCGCGGTCCTCGTCGACGAGGCGGCGCCACGGGCCCGACATCCCCGCGCCGAGCGGCCCGCACCTCCACCGCGGGGACGGCGGGGGGCGGCCGGCAAGACGGCACCTGCCACGCGGGCCACGGCCCTGACGTCCAGGGCACCGGAGGAGACGGAGCGGAAGGCTCCGCGACCTGGGATCGCGTTGCGAAAGCACATCACGACGGGAAACGTTGTGCCATGTTCGGCCTCTGGGGGCCCTTGCTGGGCCTCGGGGCCGTGGAAGAACGTGTCAGGATGGAAAACCGGTCCCCGGGGAAGGGGTCCAGACCTCGTGGGGGTCGGCGTCGTGAAAAATCACGACGTTGGGGGCCTGGGTCCGACGCCCTGACTTCTGCAGCATGGGGCCCGCGGCAGTCCCGACCCCCCTCCTCGGTGCGAGCCCGCAGTCACGCCCTGAGACCCAGCGTTGCAATCGAAACTACAACACCGTGGTGAATCACGACTGGAGCCCAGATTGCATCTCTTTGCGCCATTCCCTGCGATCCTGTTGCAATCGAAACTACAACCCCGTGTAGAATCACGACTGGAGCCCAGGTTGCACCTCTCTGCGCCACTCCCCGTGATCCTGGCGACTCCATTTCGTTCGAGCCCGGCGCTTCTGCCGCTCTCGGACCACGGGGCCCTCACAGAGCGGTCCAGCTCGAAGAATAGCGCAGAAAGATTGGGTCCAGGGCCCTGGGCCGGATTTCTCACGCTGCTCCAATTTTGTTCGATAGGATCTGAGATGAGATCCGACGACTCGAAATAATTGAAACAGAATGAAAAATCACGACTGGAGCCCTAGACACCAGCTTTCTGCGCCACTTTTCGAGCTGGATCGATATGTGAGGGTCCCGGCGCCCGAAATCATTGGAAAAAGCCCGGCCCGAAAAACTTGAGTCGTCAGGCTCTCAAAGGACGGTGCTCGATTTTCGAGAGTCGTCCAACAGTTCTTTCCTTCAGCCCCAGGCAGCGCCAAAACATCGCGACAGCCGGTCTCTTGGATGCTCTCGGCCTCTGGGCGCCGTGCCCAGGCCCGAGGGCCGTCCACAGAACGACCCGGGACACGCCACCATCTCGGGAGCCGCGGCCGAGGTCGCTCGGCCCCAGGGATCTCCCCAAAGACCCCCTCGCGCTTGAAAAAAAAAAAAAAAAAAACACGACGGGAGGATTCTCGCTCTTCTCGGCCTCTGGGGGCCCCTGCCGAGCCTCGGGCCCGTCAAGAAACGTCTCGGTATGAAACACCGGTCCCAGGGGAAGGGGTCCAGACCTCATGGGGGTCGACGTTGCGGAAAAATCACGACCCCAGACCCAGACATGCGACGTCCTGACTTTTTCAATACGGGGTCCCTGGAAATCCCGACCCGTTCCCCGGGACCGGTTTTTCATCCTGAATCCTTTTTTGCCGGTCTCGAGGCCCAGCGAGGGCCCCCCGAGGCCGAAAATGGCCAAAAACCTCCCGTCCTGATTTTTTTAAGACGCGATCATGTCTGGGGTGGTTTCGAGTCGTCGGACCTCGGGGTCGTCGCCGTGCCACCACCCTCCTGCAGCTCCTGGCCCGGCGCGCCGCACCCCCACGCCCAGGGCCAGCCCGGCGCGCGCCCGGCCCAGAGCCAGAACCGGCTGCGGAGAGGACGACAGACGGCGTCGGCGCGACGACGACCCCAGACATGATCGCGTCGTAAAGAAAATCTGGACGAGAGGTTGTTGGCCAATGTCGGCCTCGGGGGGCCCTCGCCGGGCCTCGAGGCCGTTCACGAACGACTCAGGATGAAAGACCAGTCCCGGGGAAAGGGTCGGGACTTCCAGGGACCCCGCATGGAAAAATCAGGACGTCGCATGTCTGGGACGAGGACCCAGGCACAGACCTCTGTGGAGCCTGTTCTCAAATAGGTTCTGGCGAATTTGCTTGTATGGCAGTTTGACCCCCACGCCCCTCGCCGTCTTTTCCCTCGCTGCTGGGCCGGAAATGCGTGCAAGAGTAACTGTCGGCTCGTATTAGGTCGGGCGTGTCCTCCGACAGGGGGATTTTGGACGAGACATCAAAAATAATCCAAACATACTCCTAATTAGAATAATCCAGAATAATAGGAAAATCGTCCCCAGATCATCTTTTATATTTTCGAACAGAGGGGCAGGCCCGAAAGGCTCGTAAGATTTTCAATTTTCTCTTGGAGTCTCGCCAGGGAGCCTTCCCCCTCCATGCAAGCAGACTTGCCAGAAGCCGATTGAAAATCCGCCGACCCTGTCGGCGTGTGTGAAAGGCCCTCCGACGCGAGGCCACCCCAACCCAAACTCAAGCACGCCAGCCTCCTTTGAGTCGTCGTCGTCGTAAAAGAGATCGAAGAAACAGAGGGGATCGAACAGTGTCGTCATTGCGTCGAAAAGGGGGACCCCTTCCCTTGGTCCCTTCCCCGCCGGGGGGGGCGGGTGTCCCGGGGGAGGGGGGGTGGTCCCGCGGGGGCTCCTGGGGGGTCTGCAGTCCACAGGGGGTGTCCCGCGCGGGGTTTCCCAGGAATCGACGCCTGCCGGTGGCTGTGTCCATCCTCTCCCCCCCGAGCTGCGCCCACCAGCCGAGGCCCGAGGCGACGAGGGCGGGCGGGGAGCGGCTGCACGCAGGAGCGACCCCGGGCGAGAGGGGCTTTTGGTGCGCGGCTAAAGCGGGGGCCCTAGCGTTGGCGGCGCGCATAAAGGGGGCAGAGGGGGAGGGGGAAGGCTTCTTAGAAGGAGGCTGCTTCTTAGAAGGCGCCAGCCTTACACATATAGATAAGGCCCGCGCCTTCTAGGAAGTGGGGGTGTTTCTAAGAAGCCTTCCCCCCTACCCCTACCCCCCACTGCGCGTGGCCGGCAATGGGGACACCACCAGGCGCGCAAGCCGCTGCTGTCGCATCGAATTCAGCGATCGGGGGGCCCCATTGAGCCCGCGCCAAAGATCGTGCGCGCCAGCAAGCTTTGAGAAGGTGGAGGAGGGTGAGAAGGCATAGGTTGAGGAGGAAGGAGAGTCCAGGACGAGAAGATGCCCGCGTGGAGCGGTGGCTCTAGAGACCGAACACTCCGAAAAACGTGCGTACTGATTTGCTCAAGCGAGCGAACCCCCCGCCGTCGTCGTCGTCGCCGTCGTCGCCGTCGCCGTCGTCGCCGTCGTCGCCGTCGTCGTCGTCGTCATCGTCGTCGTCGAGGGGAGCCCACGCCGCGAGCGGCCACCCGCGTCGGAGGCCCCCCGCCGCGGCACGCCGCACCGAGGCGCGGCCTGCGCCGAGGCCGCCGCCCACCGCCACCCGCCGCGCGCGCACGGGGGCACGGGCCTCGCCGCAGCACGGAGTGCGGCGAAGTGCGGCGAGGGCGCCGGCCAGGGAACCAGGGAGGAGGAGGAGGAGGAGGAGGAGGAGGAGGAGGACGAGAAGGAGGAGGAGGAGGAGGAGGAGGAGGAGGAAGCTGGACAAAATCGGCAGCCCTCGAGGCGGAGGCTTTTCATCGCTTCTGGCCCCTCGGGGCCCTCGCCGGGCCCCGGGGCCGTCGCCACAGGACGCGGGCCGAAAAGCCGGTCCCCGGGGGAGGTGGTGGAGAAGTCGGGGGCGCGTGCCTCGAAGTCGAGACGCCGCATGCGCGGTGATAGACGCCGCTGGATGAGAAGACCAGGGCCTGGAAGCTGGTGGAGCTCCAGTCGTGGGTTGGCCATGGGTATCACCGCCGCCCTCGTCAGAGCAGGGGTGCTCCACGGTCTGACGCCTCCTGGGCAGATTCCTTAAAACGCACTCCGCCAACGTGTGGCCTTCCCAGGGCTCTGGCCAGCCGGTGGCGTGGCTGCGGCTCCAGCCGCTCGTGCTCACGCTGCTGCCTGTGCTGCGTGCCCTCCGCCCATCCCCTCAGCCCGCCAAGGCATATAACTCTGGAGGTCAGAAGGGGGTATGGCATAAAGGGGTGTGTGGTGCCAATCGTGGAAATATAGAGATGCTATCTGCAGTGGATGGCATCGCCAGACTCAACATTGGCGCCATACCCCTTTATGCCACACCCCCTTCCTGCCTCCAGAGTAACCCGCTCACAGCGCAAGTGAAAAAGACAGATTCGAGATCGCCCCTCGTGGGCGGGCGAGCAGAGGTGACGATAGGGGCGAACAGCCCAGGGGAGAGCCATACATGTATCCAGGGGCACCGATGATCTATGTCTTCGACAAGGCTCCCGGGCGGGCGATTACGTGTAATGCCCGCCCCTGGGCTATTCGTCCTTATCGTCGCGACGAGGCGAGCAGAAGAGAAGCCAGGCTGAGGGGGAACGTCAGGGGGGGACCGGCTCAGGGAGCGGAGAGCACCGAGCTGGGATCAGCGATGCACCGCCGATGGAGTGGCGACATGCCCCGCCGATGGCCATTCCGCACGGCGGGCTGCCGGGCCCCTTCTCGGCGACGAATCGGCAATCGGGTTAAGTCGGGCCTGTCCCCCTACAGGGGGATTTTGGGCGAAAAAAAAAAATCAAACAAAATGCTACAACATTTTTAATTTTTTTTAACAAAAAAAAAAAAACAAAAAAAAAAAAAAAAAAAAAAAAAAAAAAAAAAAAAAAAAAAAAAAAAAAAAAAAAAAAAAAAAAAAAAAAAAAAAAAAAAAAAAAAAAAAAAAAACGCCCCCACATTATTTTGGACTATGTTTGAATATTCTTCCTGTAGAGGGACAGGCCCGATTTAACAATCGGGGGTCGAAGCATCCCCCTCTGAGCCCATCCTTTGGGGCCTGTCGGGTCTCAAAATGCGGGCCTCTGGCGGCCCTTCGAAGGGCCACCCGGGCGCCCCCCAGCGAGCGCTCTCGGCGAGGCGCGGCCGCCCGAGAGCGTCCGTGGGCTTCGAGGACCGCCCGGAGCCCACGGAGACGCCCGGGAGCCTCGCGCCTCGAGCCCGACAACCGCGAGCCTCGCACTTCGAAAGCCCCCCCTTACTCCTCCCTCCTCCTCCTCCCTCCTCCCCTCCCTCCCTCCTCCCTCCTCCCTCCTCCCTCCTCCTCCTCCCTCCCTCCTCCCCTCCTCCCTCCTCCTCCTCCTCCCTCCTCCCTCCTCTCCCTCCTCCTCCCTCCTCCTCCTCCTCCTCCTCCTCCTCCTCCTCCCTCCTCCTCCTCCTCCTCCTCCTCCTCCTCCTCTCCTCCTCCTCCTCCTCCTCCTCCTCCTCCTCCTCCTCCTCCTCCTCCTCCTCCTCCTCCTTCCTCCTCCTCCTCCTCCCCCCCCCCTCCTCCTCCTCCTCCTCCTCCTCCTCCTCCTCCTCTCCTCCTCCTCCTCCTCCTCCTCCTCCTCCTCCTCCTCCTCCTCCTCCTCCTCCTCCTCCTCCTCCTCTCCTCCTCCTCCTCCTCATCCTCCTCCTCTCCTCCTCCTCCCACCCCATCCCCCCTCCCCGCTCCCCGCTCCCCCTCCCCCATGCTCCTCACCCTCCCCCTCGCCCCCGAAAAAAGACAGCGTCCTGCTATTCCGGGAGATCGGCTTGCGGGCGCTGAGGCACCCGCGGTCTGTCCTGCGCGGCGCGGGCACGGCGGGGCCCCCACACCCCCGCGCAGTTCGGGCGCTGCCGGAGATTTCGGAGGCGGCTCCTAGGAGCTCGTCGCGGGAACGAGTGAGGCCTGTTCGGCCCGACCACGAGCAGGATTACAGTCGGACCTAGGCCAGAAGAGCATCCCTCGAGAGCACGAGACCCTCTGTCGGCCGAAGCACACAAAAAAACACCCAAGGATCCAAGGGCTCCCTCCCCAGGATGCACAAGAGCATCCAACCAACACGAAGAACACTAGGGTACCCTCCCCGAACCGACCTCGATCTCACACCTCGGTCCGGCCGTAAGCCAGATTAGGCCGCGTAAGCCGGATCGGGCCGGTTCTCGCTGGGTCAAGCGGGGCTGAGCGTGGTGAAGCCAGATCGGGCCAGGCTTCGGCCACGGATATACCAGCGCTGATGCCGAATTCAACCTCCTAGGAGTTGCAACCTCACTTGATGGGGGGCAACAGGCAGGACGGGGAAGGAAGGTGCGCCTTGATGGAGCCCAGGACCTTCAACTTACGAGACTGGCGCCCTGCTACTCAGGAGCATGGAGAAGCGACACCAACACCACCAGGGACCACCAACGGGAGGTGTGTGATCCCCCCCTGGTGGTGTGATCCCCCCTGGTGGTGTGATCCCCCCCTGGTGGTGTGATCCCCCTGGTGGTGTGATGGGGGGGTCCCCCTGGTGGTGTGATCCCCCTGGTGGTGTGATCCCCCTGGTGGTGTGATGGAGGAGCGACACCAACACCACCATGGAGGGGTCCCCCTGGTGGTGTGATCCCCCCCTCTCCCTCGAGACGTCCCCCATTTTTAGCTCGGGGTGGCATCGTGGGCCTCCTCGCTGGCCGTGGCCCCCTGGTGGTGTTGGTGTCGCCCCTCCTTCCCCCCACTGCTGAGCTCGAGCCTCGCGACGTCTGGCAGGCCCGCCGCCTGGCCGAGGAGACCTCGCGCGGCGCCCAAGGGGCAACGAGTGGCCCCGAGCTCTGCGGCCCGCTGCTGGCCGGAGGTCCGGACACCTCCCTCGGCGGCGAGGGGGGGGCGGCGAAGGGGAAAGGAGGAGGAGGAGAGTGGGAAGGAGGGAGAGGAGGAGAAGGACGGGGAGAAGCAGGAGGAGGAGGAGGAGGAGGAGGAGGAGGGGGGGGGAAGTGAGAAGGAGAAGGCTTCTCGACTACACACAAGAGTGGCCCTAGGCTGGAGTGGCCTTCGGTGCGCGGCTTGAGGGGGGCCGCGGATGGGCCAAATCCAGGCGCGCAGGCCAGGTGCTGGGCGAGCTCCCTCCGGTGAGGCCGCACCACAGGTCGCTCTGGCGAGAGGTAAGTCGTATGTGTAGCCGAGCCTTCTCAGAAGCCAGCGCGGCTTCTCACGGGCCCTCCGGCCTTCTGAGAAGGTCTCCGCGTCTTCGGGGGAAGCTCGACACGGAACTCATCCTGAGGCCAGGGGGCTTCCGGGCCCTCTGAGAAGGCCCGCCCCTGCTCACGGTTCCCCCCCGGCTCGCCGCCGACTGGGACCGGGTCACGGGCAGCACACCGGGCCGGAGTCGACGAGACGTCGCCAAGAGGAGGAGGAGGAGGAGGAGGAGGAGGAGGAGGAGGAGGAGGAGGAGGGACGTCGCCAAGAGGTCGGAGCGGCGATGGGCCACCGATCGCGAAGCTACGCGGTCCTGGGCGGGGCGGGCTGCCAGGCAGGCCCGATCGGCGATGAGGGGGCGGCGGGGTGCCGACGAGTCCCCCCCTGAGCCTCCTTCACAGTCATCGTGGGCGTCTGCGGGCCTAGGCCGAATACGGGCTCCAAGATGTGGATCTACAGAACGGCCCGGAAGCCCGAACCCCTGCCGAGCCCAGAGCGGTCCTCATGTCACTTCAGCGACCTCGCTGCAACGTGGCCCCTGCCTCTCGCTGAAACCAGCAGCCCTCCCACGCGGCGGCGCGGGGGGCGGGGGGAACAGGGCAGGCGTCCGCAGCCGGCTCCTCTCTTCGGCCGGCGGCCTCCGATCGCAACCGTGGCCTCATATTTGCTCTCAAGACGCGCGGGCCCTGAGCTGCTGAGCTCTGACTGGCTGGGCCACCGGCTGATCTCCCTGACCCAATGCGACCGAGATGTCCGACGACGACGTGGTTTTTCAATCCGCGTCCTCTGCTACCGACCGCTTCCCCCTGGGGTAGCTTTTCGTCCTGCATCCACTTATGATAGCCCTGGGCTCTGAAAACTGCCCCCAGATGCGGGGGGGGGAAAGGAACAACAGCAACATAAACAAACAAACAGACAGACAGACAAACAAACAAACAAACAAAACGTGGTTAGGTAAAACATACATTCGGAGGTTTGGGTTTGAGACAGCCGACTGCTCTCACCGCTGCTCGCGAGGGTGTCTCAACCCATCGTCCCTCGGGTTAGGGGCGTCGCCGTTGGTACTTCAAGTTGCGGCTCTGGGCCACAGGGCCCGCAAAACACCCCCTGAGCCCAGGCTCCGACAGGATCGGGGGGAGGAAACACGACAAGAAACATGAGAGAGTGAAACATGAAACTTAACACAGAAGGGTACATTTACAAATGGTAGCCAGCGTGGACCCCAAACAGTGTGTTCTGGCATAGGGCGTGGTGCAATCTGTGTGGTGCACAGCACGTGGTGCAAAATATGAAGTGCAAACTACATGGTGCACTGGGCGTGGTGCAAGCTACGTGGTGCAATATATGTGACGCAATGTATGTGGTGCAGTCTACGCGGTGCAACAGATGTGGCGTAACCTACGTACTACAATACATGTGGTGCGAGCTAATTACGTGGTGCAATCGATATGATGCAACGAACTGTTGTTCGCAATGGTTTGTCAACCCCACAACTCGCGCAACCATCCCACCAACCCACCCGCAAATTGGCTTGGAAATTTCATGCGAAACGATTGTGATAACTGCTTGGCGCTGGTTGGCGCATCGCTGCGACCGCGCTAACGCGCTCAGGCTCGCGCACAACACGGCCAGCTAGTCTGGCGCGACCCGCGCGGCCGCGGCGGCGCTGACCGCTGGAGAAATCCCGGCGCGTTTCGCAGGCCGCGCTAACGCGCGAGCACTTCAGTGGGTGACTCGGGCGGGCGCGGTATCATGGCGACGTCGACAGCGGCTGACGCGATGATGATGTCAGCGATGCTGGCGACGAGGACGACAATGACGACGGCAAGGCCAATGACGGCGCCGATGCTGATCACGCCGATGACGATGATCCGCGTCCCCCCTGGACTCTGGGAAGTCTTCTCGCATGACTTGTTCGGATCCAAGAAGGCTTCAAGACGGGACCGAACGGCCCCAAGAGGCCCCGAAGACGGCCCAGATGGGTGTCGAACCGCCGACAGATCGCTCCAAGACGCATAAGATAACGCCATGATGGCCCAAGAGGCCTCCAAGAGGCCCCAAGAGGCCTCAAAGACGCCCCCCAAGACGGCCCCCTTCAGGTTTTGAAAGATTGTAGCGTTCTTGCCTTTTTGGCTTTCCGACGCTCCAAGACGGCTCAAGAGGCCCTCAAGAGAACGCCCCAAGGCGGCCCATGAGGCGCCCAAGACGGCCCAAAAGGGCCCCAAGACGGCCCAAAAAAGAGCCCAAGAGGGAACACAACCCCAAAAGCTGAGCCTTTCACCCCGAGACGCCCTCAGGAGGCCCCCAGAGGCGCCCAAGAGGTTCCAAGAGGCCCCCAAGAGGCCCCCAGGAGGCCCCTAAGAGGCCCCCAAGAGGCCCTCAAAAGGCCCCCAAGAGGCCCAAGAGGCCACAAGACGCCCAAAAGAGGCCCCACGAGGCCCCAAAGCGGTGGGGGGATGGACTGAATGCCATTAGAAATTGGTAGTGGTCGATGGAGCAGAAGCACATGTAAATTGCACGTCCTTAGGGGGGAGCGATAATCCCAGAGTGGGGAGTAGATCCGAATTCCTTTTTAGAAAAGGAAAATAGATATGGTGCAGCCTACGTGGAGCAATGAATGTATGTTCGCAGTGAGTTGTCCACTTCACTGCTCGTGCAATCATCCCACCCACCCACCCACCCACCCGCAATTTGGTTTGCGAAACCCATGCGGCGGCGATTGCGATGAGAGCACGGCGTTCGCTGGTGCATCTGTGCGGCCGCGCTAACCCGCGCATGCTCGCGCGCGCAGCGGCCAGATAGTTTGGCGCCACCAACGCGGCCGCGGTGGCGCTGACCGCTGGGCACTTCCTAGGAGGGCACTTCAATGTGAATCGGCGATTTGGGCGAGCGCAGTATCATGGCAACGTCGATAAAGGTAGACGCGATGATGATGGTAGCGATGTTGGTGACGCTGATGACAACGACAACGGCAACGCCAGTGACGGCGCCGATGCTAATCACGCCGACAACGATGACGGCACACTCGCGTCGGTGATGACGGTTTTGGAGGGAGTTCGACATGCGCGCGCGGCCGACGCGCGAGAGTGGCTCGCATGGTGTTAGTGCCCCCCCCAGCACGCGCGCAAGGGCGTTCGAACAAACTCGAATGCCTTCGACGTGCGGCGCGAAGGCCCGTTCGGCCGGATTGAATGCACATGTTGAAAACCTTATGTTGTTCTCAAGAATTCGCAGGAGCGCGAGCGCAGGCCTTTTTTTTAACTGATGTTGCAAAACCATATGTTGATGTAAATGTTGTCGGGGCACCCGAGATTGAAATCCGGATGAAACAGAAGGTGTCCCAAGGACTTCGGCGTGCGCGCGCGACGACGCGCGCATGAACACTTCGTCATGTTTTTTGCGAATGGTTTACAAAAAAGAAAAACTTATCTGTGATAAACGAGTGCGCGCGCATAGTAGCTACTGCAGAGGATGGCGGATGAGAAACCGATACCGGCCTGCCTGGGATTCTACGGATTCATATTCAGGGTGGACGATGGGGCTGAATCATCTGCATATTGCAATACGAAAAGGAGAACCGTTGATTCTTGGGGGGGTGAACCCTCATACTCTTTCAGGGAGGAGAGTATATGTGATGTATGCTATGTGATACATGCAATGCAGCGCGAAACAACACAACATAAGCATGGCAAATAATGCGACGCAAAGCGAAGCAACGCAACGCAAAGCAAAGTAACGCTAAGCATTGCAGAGCAAAGCAAATCAATGCCAAACAATGCCAAGCGACGCAAAGAAACGCAAAGCAGCGCAAAGCAAGGCAAAACGGGCGACCACAAAGCGGCGGACCCGACACGGGAGCCCACACGACGAGCGGGTGACGCGGCGGCGACGGCAACCACAAAGCGGCGGACCCGACGACGGAGCCCAGTGCGAGGCGGCGACGGGGCTGCGACGGCGACCACAAAGCGGCAGAACCGGCAGCGGAGCCCAGTCGAGGCGGCGACGGGGCGGCGACGGCGAGCACAAGGCGGCGGACCTGGCAGCGGAGCCTGGTTCCTGAGAGAGTACATGAAATCCAACCAGTGCGAGCAAGGTTTGGGGAATACACAGACACATCTGCATACATATATCTATCATACTGTGTATATACCTATACGACCACCCTTCGGGTGATGAGAAGGTGAGGGGGGAGGAGAAGCCAACGTCTCACTCAATCGATCTCACTATCGATCCCACAATCGATTTCACAATCGATCTCACTCGATCGACTTCATTATCGATCTCACTCGATCGATCTCACTATCGATCCCACCATCGACCTCACTATCGATCTCACTCGGTCGATCTCACTATCGATCTCATAAGCGATTTCGTTATCAGTCTCACGATCGATCTCACTATCGATCTCGATATCGATCCCACTATCGATCGATCTCACTATCGACACCACTATCGATCTCACGATCGATCGATCTCACTATCGATACCGCTATCGATCTGACGATCGGTCTCAGTATCGATCTCATGGTCCATCTCACTATCGATCTCACGATCGATCTCAATATCGATCCCACCATCGATCTCACTATCGACCGTACTATCGATCTCACTCGATCGATCCTACTATCGATCTCACTCGATCGATTTCACTGTCGATCTCACTCTCGACCCACTATCGATCTCAATATCGATCCTACTATCGATCGATCTCACTATCGACACCACTATCGATCTCACTATCGATCTCACTATCGATCTTATGGTCCATCTCATTATCGATCCCACTATCGTTCTCACTATCGATGCTACAATCGACCTCGCTATCGACATCGATCTCACGATCGATCTAACTATAACGATTTCACAATCGATCTCACTATCGATGTCACTATCGATCTCACGATCGATCTCACTATCGATTTCACGATCGATCTCACTATCGGTCTCACTATCGATCTCACTATCGATCTCACAATCGATTTCGTCATCGGTCTCACTATCGTTTTCGCATCAGCGGGACACCGGGACACCGGCGGGACACTGGCGGGACACTGGCGGGACACCGCGGGCCACCGCATGCCCGAAGGAGAATCATTTGGTCCGGCCGGGGCCCAGCCACAAGCGGGACACCGGCGAGACACCGGCGGGACACCACGCGCCACCGCTTGCCGGAGGGAGAATCATTTGGTCCAGCCGCGCCTCAGCCACAGGAGACTTTCCTCTCGCCCGCCCACGCAGCTTCGCCTCGCCCGCACGCACGGCACGCACGAACACGACATCGAAACCGATTTCCCGGTGGGGGGCTCTCCGTTCCACTTCGATCTCACCCCCACATCCGCCACACATATATATATAGATGTATGCTAGCACCCCCCCCCAGCACCCCACCTTCGACGCGATGGCGGAACTATAATCAAGATTGTCATGTCTGTTTGGGTGGATGGTCGTTAGTGATGGCTTACTTGTATTTCACATGTTCGGCTGGATCCTGCATTTGAATCGCTACTTGTATCTCGTCATTGCACGCACGGAATGCGATTGCTGACGGGCTGCAGATGCGTCCACAACGCTATACACAATGCATTCGTAGCACTAATATTGACGTAGATGGCATAGGATAACATACAAAAGCGACGCAGACCCATATAATTGCGGGCGACAGAGAAGCCCACGACCTGCTGCACCCATCTTTTTCGTTGCGCGAGTGCCTGCAAACGAAACATCCATGGACACGCGCGTGGCGCGCGCGGAGAGGCAGCACAGAGAACGCCGATCCAAGCTCACAGGTCCTACCCAAGATGCGCCCTCTCGAACTCATGATAAAACACGTCGCCAGTGGCAGCCCACAAATCACAGCCGCGGTTCCAATAACACCACTGTGCGGAGCGGATCTTGTCTCGTAGGATTTTGCTACCAACCACTTTCTGAATCCCCACGTGCTTGGGTACCTCACGCCAACAACGGTCTATGATCTGAGCACCGCTCTTCACCCAAACCCTTGTTTGCTTGGCCGTCCCATCGGAAGAAGCAGTAGGGACGTCGTGGTATCGCACCTTCGAAAACAATGGTTTGATCCATACGAACTTACCGTTGATCTTCACTCTCTTCTTCATGTACACTACCTAATCGCGCATCACACCTGGCACCTTCAGTTTGTAATCTGGCGCCGTCGGTGTGCAGAATGACGGAGCGGCCCTTGAGCTATTTTGTTGCCAGCGGGCACCAATCGCGTTTCCTGATGGGGCCTGGTCCTGGTGCACGCCTCTTCGTCTTCTCTGGCTTCAATTTGAATAGCACAAGAGAACGCGGACAACCTCGTTGCACAATCCCGCCCCACTGTTCCCAAACTACAGGGTGATCTGCGCCCCTTTTGGCAAGTGGATCCTCTCCTTTGGCCAGGTCGACCTCGTCTGCCTCGACGTCCACCCACTCGCCAGACAGGCCAAATTTCATCTTCTTCTCCATCGCCAATGCGTAGCTTGCCCGAACAGAATACAGATTAGCGTACATGCTCTCTATGAGCTCATGGTTCTGCCCAACGAGCCTGTGCGCCTGAACTTGGCTGCAACCGCTCACGGCGCAGAAGAGGATGGACACTTGGACAGGCAAGCTCGCATGGGAAGCGCCCGTGGCCGCACGAAACTCTGGATGGAACGACTGGGGTAATACGCGGCGGCGGCAACCGCGGCTCCCGCATCGATAGCTCCAGCCGCCCCTCTTCGGCCCGAAGTTCTGTAGCGGCCCCAGCACGCCGACGTTGCAGTAAGGGCAGGTTACGCCCTTCCACTCGGGCAAAAAATGCTGTCCTTCTTAAGCTTCGAAATCACTTGCTTCATTGGCTGGTTCAAGAAATCCTTGAGAGAAGTCGCCCACCGCGATCGATCTGGCCTGGATCCGCCACCGCGCATGCGTGCGCAGTTTGCGGCGCGCTGGCCTTGCACTCTTCAGCGCTCACTCGCGCGCGGTGCATCAAAAACCAACGTCCAGCAAACGGCGAGGCGCCAGCACTTCCCACTGCATTCTCGACTCAAAGCGTCCGACCCAGACCCCAAAACGGACTTACAAGAGCCTCTTCCACGGTGGCGGCATTCGCCGAAGGCCATAATATATCGACGTGCGAGTGCCATGTCTGACGTAGGGGGCGCACTTCGGCTGCTTCGGCATCTTCGCCGCCGCTCGTTTCGCCTTCGACTTCTTGCGAACAGGGCGCATCGCCTGGCGCCTCTTCCCTTTTTTTGGCGCAGGCCAATTGCCGCGCCACTTTGCATCAGATGTGCCGCCACACTTGCTGTCGCCATCGCCGCCGATGCCGCAAGCCACGTCGGAGACGCAGAAGATCCGCGAGCGGGCGTTGTTTTCGATGTATCCGAGCTCCTGCGTCGTGATCAGCTCCGCGAACCCAGAGCAGAAGCTGATGATGCAGTGCTCGCTTACAATCAGTGCATAGGCGTGCCCCTCGCCGTCGTCGATGACGAATTTGCCCACGGCGCTGGCGCTCGCCGCGTTGAACCGAGAAACGCCAACCCCGAACTGATCGAGCATCCCGCAGCCGTCCTCAATGATCCAGAAAGGGCCGTCGCTGCTGGCAACGACAGGGAAACCAAGGTCGTTGAAGGCCTGTGCCACGCAAATATGTCTGAAACGATTCGCAGCATTGCCTCTTCTGCACTTGTCGGCGGCCGCGACAACGGCGCCGAACTCCTGCGAAACCATCATCCCACGCCGTCGCATGTCATTGCTGGAACGTGCCTCGGGACTGCCATTGGCGAGGGCGTCGCAGCCGTGCACGGTCGTTTGCGCCGCCCTCCTGCCGCGCACGATGGCATCGTAAACGCAGCGTTCCACGCAGAGCGTAGCGCTGGCGGCAAGAAGCCCGCGCGCACTGGAGGCGCCGCCGACGCCGCCGAGCGCGTCCATCGACGACAGCACGGGAGGTGCCCCACTGCCTCCATGGAAACACAACTCAGCAAGAGAAACCACTTTGAAAAGTCGCACGTCATCGTTGGATACCAGAGCGCGCCGCTGTCCATCAAGCAATGGCTCGCACCGCCCGCCATCCGCAACGCAGCAAACCTCGCCGCAGTGCATCACCAGCGCATTTTGGAATTGGGAATTTGCATGCACTATGCATCGCCCATCCCGCCACAGATGAGCTCGCGGAACTGGCACGCATGCGTGCTGGAACTGCTTTAGCATGCCGTTCCCGCCCTGGCGGGGGACGCTAAACATGGGCATGAACGCACAAGCGCGCGGCCATCGCGCGTGCAAGCGCGCATTCACACGCGCGCGCGATCAACAATAACATGAACACATCGCCACCAGACCGACATTCGACCTGTGGCTGCGCAGATCTGAAGCCACCAGGCGGCGTTGACAAAACTGCGATCCAACTCTACGTGCGCCTCTCTCTTCCATGCGTTTCTCTGCAGCGTTCCTGCGCCACCCCTCGTTACATCGCCCTCCGTCGTTCCTGATGTCGCTCATGGTTGCATTATCTGTATCTCTCTCCCCCTTTCTCTCGCTCAATGATCTCGCTCGCTGCTTCTGTCTCTCGCTCTCTCCCTCTACCCACAAGACCCACCTTGTCCCCCTCGCAGTTGTATGACTCTTGAAATCGCGTCCTGCCTCTCAATCTCCACTTCTGGATATATAGCCTGCCATCCCTTCTCTGCCCCTCTAGCCATCTCTCTCCCTCCCCCCCGCCCCTTGTCGTCATTCAGAATCCAGAACGGGCCGCCCCTGCGCACGTCGACAGGAAAATCGTAATTCTGAAAGCAAGTCGGAAGGCACATGTCGGTGAGCTCAGATGCCTCCGAAGCGCTGCTCCGAGACGAATTGCCTCCTGCGCCGCCCTCCGCATCCAGAGGCTGAAATACATCCGCCGTGAACGCCACCCCCTCGCGCTGGGCAACGCGGTCAAGACTGGCACGCGCGGCGCCCAGCGAAAACTCAGGGATGCGGAAAATTGCCCCGTCGAACATGCATGTCATGACGGCGCTGTCTGCCACGTCTCTCAGCATTGCGAGCTCCGCCTGCTGGACGATGGGATCCTCCACGCTGGCCCACGCGAAATGCAGTCGCGATGCACAGGGGTGACGACGAGACGCGAACATGTCGTTCAAATGCTGGAAATTGTCCGACGACAAGACGATGTCGACGGCCTGCTTGATCTGCACAGACAAGGCCCAGAGGAATGGCAACTCGCCCATGGGAGCGGCCAGATGCAAAATAGAAATAAGCATATTCTTCGAAGCTTTCAACGGGATGCCAAAGTAATCGGCCAAAGCGGCACGCCACGCCCTGTAGTGAAACACGAACGCATACAGCACGTCGAAATCCGTCCGCGCAGCGTCTCCGACATTCTCGATGAGTTCCTTCCAGAGCAACGTCGGGAAACAGTTTTCTATGTCTACGTCAATGTACACGAAACCAGCGCCACCCGGAGAAGCAACGTCGAACGTGAACGCCGCCTTGTAGGAGGAATCGGAGACCGACGCGCAAACGCCGCCAGGGCAGCGGCAGCGAGAAAGACTTGAGTGACATGGGTGGTCCCCTACCCCAACGCCCCTCTCGCCCGAGACGTCTCCAAACCCTGGCTCGGGGAGGCATAAATGACCTCCTCGTTGGAAGAAACTTTCGAGTTTGCGCTGTCGTCGGCCCCCTTTACCCCAACCTTGCGAGCCGCTCTGGACAACTTCTGAGCACTCGGACAATCTGCGTACCGCCGCCCAGGAATGCCATGCCTCCGGTGGTACTCGACACGCACAGTCACGTAGTCACCAGATCGGCTTCCCTGCGACTCGAGGAACTCAATGAAGCGCCGCGCTACGTCAGCTTTGCGGTCCGTGCCACTTTCAATGTGGTCTCGCAAGCAAGCCACGTTGACCGTTTCAAAGAGATGGCCACACATCTGCTTCGAGAACTCACCCTCATGGATCATGCCCACTTGGAAATTCATGATCTCACCGCCCATCGTCGACAACATTAACTCGCGATTCTGCCACATCGTGCCCCAGTCCTTGAATGACCCACCAAATTCTGATCGGGTGTACTTTTTCATGATGCCATCCAGCTTGTCAAAGTCGATCATCAATCTTTCATGTGCGCACTGGCCTGAACCTTTCCCTGGAGATACAACTGCATCTGGATTGACCAGGTAAGGCCACAGCTTGGCCGCCGCAATGAAATTGTCACATTCGGAAGCGGACCTCGAGGACGTTTTCCATGTACCAGGTATCGGCGGGTCCACTTGGAGCTTCGGAACATCATATGCCTTGATGTAGCGGTCTGCAGAAGCTCGGTGAACCCTGATCATGAGGTCACGTGCAGCTTCGACTTCTTGTTGCATTGCTGCATCTGTCTTGAATCCGTCAGGCAGCTCCAGCCCGCCGTTCGCCATCTGCGCCACGACCTGCTTGGTGAACTCCATGATCTTGGCAGGCAGGTTGAGGGGAATTGATCGACAATCTGCAGCAGAAAACCGCTGGATGAACGGCATCAAAAAATATTGGACGCACGCAACTCTGGCATAGGACCCCTGGAGGAAGCTAGAAAGCTCGCTGTCTTCTGGGAAGATCTTTCTCTCGACGTCGACCTCGTTGGGATCGCTCGTAAATGACCCTGCTAATTGTAACGCGCGGAGGCGCCTCCAAAAGCTCTTCTGCGACTGGACGTTATGCGGGTTACCCTGGATTTCCCAAAATATCTGGTTGCATTCCCAGAATTTGCCGCACTTCAGCCAATGGAAATACGCCGTGGTCTTCCCGAAGAGGGGTCGGCACGCGAGGAAACCACCAGTCACGAAGCACTTCCATACGTCCTCCTCTAGAGGGGTGCCTGGCGAGCACTCCTGCACAGTGGTGAGCCTGGCATGCGCGAAATGGCAGCCTTGTTTTCTGAACTCCTCTGGCTTCTGAAACGCCAGCGCAGACATCACCTTGCGCATGGTGCCCCACACGTTTCCCCGAAGAAGTGTCCGCGCGGACTTCGCGTTCCCGCCGTTGCCAGTTATGAGAAGCTGAACGTGGGGCAGGTCTACATTGTGCATGGCTAAGGCCCCCATGGCAATGTCCAGCTTGCGGGCCTCGGGGCAACCAGCAAACGTTGTAGTCGTGAAGAGCGTAAGCTCGTTCACGGCCCAGTCTGGAACTGTCAAGGAAAATTGCATGGGCATCGCCATGTAGCACTTGTTGTCCTCCGATTTGTGTACCTGGCTGACTCGGGCGCCTCCGCCCGCACCTTCTGCGAGCGCAAGAGCGGCGTCCTCAAAGTCGACGCGGGCAGCCTGTTCAGGGCGCGGCTCCTGAAAGCAAGCGCCGAATGCATCCATAAGTTCAGCGCCCCTTCCTTTTCCGCTGAATCTCGCGCCCATTTCCTGGAGCACCCTCCCCACTTCGGCCGCCCAGACGACGCCGATGCCCTTGCCGATCAGGAAATCGCGTCGCGCCGTCGGCGGCAGCTGTTCGATCTCTCCGTGGATGGGTTCCAGCGAGCTGAACACTGCATCCCAGCTTCGCGCAATCTGCTCGGAATGGAGATGCCGAAACATCATAGAAGCCAGCTGCAACACGCACCCCATGTCTCGCAATGTCTTATCACTAAATTCCTCTATTCTGGACCATCTGCCGTGGTTGTAGGAATACACTCCATTATCACGGGCGCGCATCGCATCCACTACCGTTAAGTGCAACAGGCGGGCGGTCAGTATCTCATTACGCGGCCGCCATGGAATAATCTCCGCAACATTCAACGCAATGGTACACCTCCTCCGTCAAGTGCAACTCGTGCCACTGCTCCAGGGTGGCATGGAGGCGTTGAATGAGGGCCGCGTCGGCGCTGCGCGAGTCATCGGCAGGGGGCGGCGCTTCTGGATCCACTGCAATTGCGCGCGCAGAAGCTGCAATATCAGAGAACTCTGGGTCCGCCCATAAATGCAGGATCTGCTGCCTGGCGCCCTCGCCCGCAGCGCGTCTTCCACGGTGCACGCTCGAAGGTGCCTCGCCGTGGATATGGGCGTTCGCCACCGCATCAGCACCGCCGCCGCGTGGCACTGCGGCCGCAGGCACTACTGGAGCTACGGGCGTCCCCGACGACCTGGCTGGTCGACCCGACTGGCGCGGTGAAGCGGACTCATTCTTCACCTCTTGCTTAGGTTCAACCTTCAATGACACTAGCGCAGCTGGCGTCTCCGATTTTACTTATGATTTCGTTGCCTTGCGCGGCCCTTCTGACGCGCGCGGCGAACCGCGGTCGCGTTTAATGGCGCCCTCACTTGCGTTTGCGGGCGGGGGTTCGAGCGCATCACCGCCGCGCAAAAATCGAAGCCCGCCCGCGTGGCCGCGGCGGCGGACATCACCTCGGCTCAAGAACCGCCAAAACAAATCGGGCGGCAAACCCGACTGCATAACCGATTCGTCTGGGATCTGGTACGTACCAGATACGCTAGTCCAAGCAACGAGCTGCATGCAGTCATTTATCTCGACTTCGCCAGCGAAGACCACTGGCATTTCGGAAGCCAGCCCCGCGTGCCCACATGCTTCCCCCAAGTCTGCAGGAGGCGCGTCAAGCATGCGGAAGAATTCTTCGCCGCGGCCTTTGACAACGGCGTACGTTCCACGCTGCACATGGGCGTCCTCGATGACTGCAAAGTCGCGCCATTGGGCGTGCGCGCGCTGGTCGCCAAGCGGTCTGGAGAACTTGGTGGCCTCTACCGCTCTGTCGCGAATGGCCACTTGCAGCAGCGGCGCGCCAACGTTGACCATCGGCGGGCGCATGGCGTTTTCACGGAGCTGCTGCGCGCCGGCGGAGCCCGCGAGCCTCTGGGCCAAGGCGGGGTACAGGATGTCTGTCGAGCCGTTGGAGGCCGACGCCGAACGCCTGGAATGTGCCTCCGCTCGCTCATGTTTTACGCGCGAAGGCGCGCCCCCTCGCAGCGCACCCCCCACGGCAAGCCGCCTCTGCAGCGTCCTGGACATCTGGGTGCCCATGTCTCCCGCTGCCCAATCAGCAAGCCCGAGGCCACCTGAGGCCCCGTCGCTAAAACCGCGGGCGGAGCCATCGAGGACGCAACCCTGGCCATCAGCAAATGGAGCATCACCTGGGCAGGATTGATGCTGCACTCCGCAATCGACATGTCCACGGTGCGCGGCGTTGAGGTGCACATGCGCAAGCTCTTGATCCAGGTCAGCCCATGCGAGCGGCACCTGCGCCAGCGGCTCGACCAACGGGAGGTGCGCGTGGAAGAAGGACCCTATGTCACCACAGGTGTTGCCAACGCCGTCGGCCACGCTGGCGTTGCATTGCAGCGCTGCCTGTAAGTGGACGTCGGTTCCTCCGCGTAAGTCATGCGCGGCCAAAGCGCGAACATAGTCATGAAAGTCATGAATGTCATCTATGCAACCGGCCGTCGCCACCCACTTGGCACCCACGTGAACAAGCCAGCTTTCCTCTCCGAGCTCAACCGAGCTGTCGGCGTCGCGAGGGTAAGTCGGGCCGCGCGGCGGCGTAAGTCTGGAGCGTCCCCTTCCGTTCTCATACTCGATTGCCCTGAATGTGCGCAGTGCGGCGTCAGCGAGCAATAGCCCAATGAGAAATAGAGCATAGCCGCTTTTCTTGCATGCATAAGACGCGCCTTTCCCAGCACGCATCAAGCCGCCCGCGAGAACGATGTAGGCGAGCTGTCCAACCACCGCGAGCATGGATCTCACTGACAAATGCCACGCGCATTCAAGTACTTGAACTGCACGCCTAGCCCACTCCAAGAAAACGGAAGACGCCGCCAGAATACCTGATGCACGCCTCCTCGTTCCGCTTCCAGAAGTAGCACCACCTGAAGAAGAGAAAAGAACACTCACGACATCCCGCCGCGGGCACCATCATCACGGCACTATCGCAGAACTGGCACGCGTCTGGACAGACAACCAGCGAGTGCCGCGCCGAGGAGGGTGTCCGCGACGGCGCGTCGGCAATGTTCGTTTGCCCTCCCGAACACTTCCACCATCGCCGCCAATCCCGCCGTCGACGTGCAAGCGCGCCGACGTCGGTTGCCAGCGCCGCCAATCATCTGGATCTGCCTCAAGGCCGCCGCCGTCAGGCGCTCCCTCGGGGACACCGTGCTGACGATGCACAAGCATACGGAATGTGTTGTTGTCTTGGGCATTGATATCAACGGCCATGCTCTCGATGTAAAAGTTGTGGTCCAGTGGGTGGACTACGTCGTTGAAACTGTCATCGGTTCGCGGGGTCACGCGGTAGTGGGCCACGTCGTTGCGCGGCAAGGTGGCGATGCATGTAGCATTTGCGTGACACCACGAACCGACGACTTCTTCTGGCGCATGACGAAGATCAGAATGCCATTGTACTGGTGAGGCACGAGTACACGAAGGGACGACCTCACGTGTAGACGTTGGTGTTTGGGTGAACCCGCCGAGAACCTGGGCCATGTCGTTGCGCTGCAAGGTGTCGATGCATGTAGCATTTGCGTGACACCACGAACCGACTACTTCTTCTGGCGCACGACCAAGATCAGAATGCACTTGTACGGTTGAGGCACCTGTATACGAAGGGACGTCCTCTCGTGTAGAAGTGGGTGCCTGGGTGAACCCGTCGAGAACCAGGGTAACGAGTAGAGTGACGATCATGGCGGCCTGCAACGGCACCGCGGTCTTGAGATGCTGGCACCGAGCAGCCGCAGACACATGGTCTGTCACAGCGGGCTGCTTCCACATACAAGCAAACCCAATCAGGAAACATAGCTGCACCTCAAGAGACAACATCTCAGAACAAGAATGTTATCCGAAGGGCAAGGGTGGACTGCAATGCAACGGTGGCTGTATAAGCGGCCGTGCCTTGCTTGAGCCAGCATGAAAACAGCAGCGATCAGAAGCACGAGATGTGGTCTGCTGTGGTGACTTCCTGGGGAGGCATCCGATGAGAGATCCGAGGCGCCTTCGGGTTGCTCTTCAGGTGCTTATCGGGCGCCTTCGGGTGCTCAACGGGTGCCTTCGGGGTGCTTTGCAGGTGCGTTCGAAGTGTCTGTCGGGTGCGTTTCGGGTCCTCCGAGCTTCCTGGGGAGGGGGCATCCGATGAATGACCCGATGAGCACCCGATGAACACCCGAAAAGCAACTCGAGAGCACCCGAATAGCATCCGAAGGGCACCCGATGAGCACCCGAAGGGCAACTCGAGAGCACCCGAAAGGCACTCGACGAGCACCCGAGGGCACGCGAAGGGCACCCGAAGGGCACCTGATGAGCACCCGATAGGTATTCCTCCTCATCTTCCTCTCCCTCATCCCCCCCCTCCTCTTCCATCTCCCCCCATCGCCTCCTGCTCCTCCTGTTCCTCGTCCTCCTCCTCCCTCCTCCCTCCTCCCTCGTCCTCCACCTTCTGTTCTTCCTCCTGGTCTTCTCCCTGTTGGAAAACGTGTCCCCCTCGTGTCCCCTGATGTCCCCTCGTGTCCCCCTCGTGTCCCCTCGTGTCCCCCTGATGTCTCCCTGATGTCTCCCTCGTGTCCCCTCGTGTCCCCCTGATGCCTCCCTGATGTCTCCCTGATGTCTCCCTCGTGATGTCTCCCTGATGTCTCCCTCGTGTCCCTCGTGTCTACCTGATGTCTCCCTGATGTCTCCCTCGTGATGTCTCCCTCGTGATGTCTCCCTCGTGATCTCTCCCTGATGTTTCCCTGATGTCTCCCTCCCTGATGTCCCCCTGATGTCCCCCTGATGTTTCCCTCGTGCCCTCCTGATGTCTATATGATGTTTCCCTCGTGTCCCCCTCGTGCCCCCTCGTGTCACCCTGATGTCTCCCTCGTGTCCGCTCGTGTCCCCCTCGTGTCCCCTCGTGTCCCCCTGATGTTTCCCTCGTGTTCCCCTCGTGTCCCCTGATGTCCCCTCGTGTCCCCCTCGTGTCCCCTGCTTTCCCCTCTTGTCCCCCTCGTGTCCCCTGCTGTCCCCCTCGTGTCCCCCTCGTGTCCCCTGCTGTCCCCTCGTGTCCCCTGCTGTCCCCCTCGTGCCCCCTCGTGTCCCCTTTTGTCCCCCTCGTGTCCCCCTCGTGCCCCCTCGTGTGCCCCTCGTGCCCCCTCGTGTTCCCTGTTGTTCCAATCATCAGCGCCGCCGCCACCGTCGTATCACGCCCCATTAGCAGAATTCCTTAAATCGCAAGGGTCCGAAACCGAACTGAAACCATTTCCAGCACCCGCAAGGCACCCGGAACGCACCCGCAAGGCACCCGCAAGGCACCCGAAAACCACCCCGAACTCGTCAAGCCCGAAATTCTGAAGAAGCACAACTCATCAAAAAGTGATGACGTCGTATTGAAACGTGCAAGTGCAACAACGGTGTTCTGCGCTATGCGGCGCGTGGACCTCATTTTTGCCTACTGGAATTTCACCAGATAAAAAAATGCACATAATCCCCCCCTTTTATAATCGAAAAAAAACGCCCTCCAGGGCAGCTTAGGCGTTTGCAGTCACCCCCCAAAGCGCGCAGCCACACCAACCGAAATGTTCATTGCTAGCGCACCCGCAAGGCACCCGCAAGGCACCCGAAAACCACCCAGAACTCGTCAAGCCCGAAAGTCTGAAGAAGCACAACTCATCAAAAAGTGATGACGTCGTATTGAAACGCGCAAGTGCAACAACGGTGTTCTGCGCTATGCGGCGCGTGGACC